GTGCGTACCATTTGCCAGGACTGTGCGTCCCATAATCGAGACTGCGCGTCCCATTTGCCAGGAATGTGTGTCCCATAGCAGGGACTGCGCGTCCTATTTGCCAGGACTGCGTGTCCCATAACAGGGACTGTGCGTCCCATTTGCCAGGACTGTGTGTCCCATAGGGAGGAGGAGGAGGATTGTCTCGGCTGTCGTTTAAGGCACGGGTCAAGTGTTACCGTATCGTGCCCTAACAAAAGGGAACATGACCGTCAACCTAATGAAGCGAAGCGGCGGCGGCAGCGGCCAGCCGCACTGTATATGCCGTACCCCGACCGCTATTACTCGGGTACTATGTAATCTACCTACGGATGCCTACCAGGCGAGACACGGCCCACGACTGTGAAGCCCGTTATATGGAATGCGCCACCGTCCTCCTGGAGGGGGGCCGCTCCACGACTGTGAAGCCCGCTTAACTACCCTACTCTCATCCTCCCTCAACAGGAGGGCCGCCCCACGACGGTGAAGCCTTATTATCGCCAAACTCTTACCTTTGCCCTTCGCTGTCACTTGTCCCCCCACCACTAAGTGGCAATTCGTCCCTTCCCCCAGACTTTGAAGCTTGCCCACCCCCCTCTCACAATGAGAGGCAGGCGAGCGACGCCCCACGACTGTGCCCTTTTAACAACCCCACTCTCATCCTCCCTCAAAAGGAGGGCCGCCCCACGACTGTGAAACCCTAACATTGCCCCTCGCTTATCCCTTTACCTTTACGGTCACGTGTAACCCCGCGACTAGATAGCAATACCTACTCGGCAAACCTCTCCCCTACTACTGCTCTCCATGGGGTCCATGTGAAGCACGGTTATCCCCTTGAAAGCTACCCACCTATTATGGGAGCGGCCGCGGGGGCGAACCTTCTAATACTAAAATTCGACACCTACTGCTACAAGAAGGGCCCCACGACTGTGGGGCACCAATAACCCGGACTGCGCCGTGGCCACCTCTCTGTTGGGCGATGGCCTGCCCCACGACTGTGAAGCCCCCTAAAGCGCCAGCCCAGGCCCCAGGGCCGCCCCACGACTGTGAAGCCTCAGGGCCGCCCCAAGACTAATATGAACAATGCAAGGCGAACCTTGTTGTCCCGGCTCTCCGGGCTCCTTAATAATCCCCCCCCCCACGTCCACTAAGTGGTCCTGTCGGCTCCTCACTAGCAGATTCCCAGTCCATGAAGGGTGCTGCGTTAAATTGGGGTGCCAAGGGGGTCACGCTCCCAGCCCCTTAGTCCGAGGGGTCTGGGCCCTTCTGCCCCCTACAAGTGTGAACCCTACATGATGCATACGGTCTCCGTTGCTTCTCTACCCCCCTGGCGTGGCTGGGGACTGGCATTCGCCCCAGCCCACACTCTGATTCTAGCCCTTCCCTAACCCCCTCAGGCGGTTACTCCTTGTGCTGGGAGGGCACTTGAACGTGCCTCTTGCCACTGTCGCCCCGCTGTTCACTCCCCTGGGGGCTCTGCTGGGGTGCTCGTCGGGCGTGGGGAATCCACGCCCTTAGTGGCGCCCCGTGCGTCCCCAGCCGACTCCCCCAGAGGAGCAGCAGGAGGAGGAGGAGCAGCAGGAGGAGGGATGGAGGACGGATTTGTGGGGGGGTGGCGAGACAGGGTGTCATGAGGGGCTCTAGGGATATGTCCGAGGGCTCTGGAAGCTCCTGGTGGCCCAAGGGTAAAACATATCCCAAAGGTTCTTGAGGCAGCAAAGCAGAAGAGTGCCACATCCTCCTCCTCCTCCTCCTCCTCCTCCTCCTCCATGCTCCCCCCTGGGCACAAGTGGATGGGGGGAGACGAGGGAGTGAGGCGGGGCACGGGGGGGGCAAGATGGAGCGTGTGGGGGGGGAGGAGAAGTAGGGGGGCGGGCGGGCGGAAAGGAAGAGTGGGGAGCAGGAGGAGGAGGAGGAGGAAGAGGAGGAGGAGGAGGAGGAGGAGGAGGAGGAGGAAGAGGAGGAGGAGGCGGAGGAGGAGGAGGAGGAAAAGGACGAGCGTGAACCCAAGACATATCAACGATGTTGAAATATACCATCCCTCCCAGATCCCTCGTCGTAGGCCCCTACAAAGGGCCATTTCCACTGAGAGAACTGCCTCGTTGGGGGACAACCGCATGAACATCTTGAAACGTGCCAGAACACCATTCCCAAGACTTCAACGCCACGATTTAGCCTGACTATTTCGTCTAGGTGATGCTGAACCGTGCCACAACACCGTTTCTGGGACTTCAACACCGCGAACCAACATAACTGTTGCGCCCTGACCATCTTGAACCATGCCTTGAAAATACATGAAACTCTTGCACATGTATATAATTAATGTGCGCGGCGCTAAGGCGATAATCACATTATGACAACCAACCGCTCTCAAACCGATACATTCTTACAGCGTTTGCAACGAATGTGCGCGGCACAGAAAACGAGACCCACATTTTGAAAACGAACCGCCCTCAATCCGTGAAGCTCTTGTGATTTCCTATAACTAATGTGTATGGCGGTACGGCGAGAACCACATTTTGAGAACCGGCCGCCCTCAATCTCTGAACCTCTTGCACATTGTGCAAAGAATGTGCGCAGCGCTAAGGCGAGAGCCACATCTTGAAAACAAAGCGCCCTGACTCAGTGAAGCTCTTGCACATGTGTGTAACGAACGTGCGCGGAACTACGGCGAGAACAACATTTTGAAAACCAGCCGCCCTCAATCCGTGAAACTCTTGCACATTTGAAAATCGAGTGTGCGCGTCGTTATGGCGAGAACAACATTTTGAAACTTCGCCCTCAATCCGTGAAGCTCTTGCATTTGTTTGAAGTGGCGTTGTGCGGCGCTAAGGTGAGAGCCACATTTTGAAAACAACCCGCCCTCCATCTGTGAAGCTGTTGTTAGTTGTTAGGCATCCAACTCAGACTTGGTGAGGAAGTCTCAGGCGAAACGCACGGCCGCCCTAAAAACTGTCCTCGGGGTGCGACAGGGAGGAGGAGGAAGAAGAAAAAGAATAAGAAGAAGAAGAAGAAGAAGGAGGGGCATTGCCCCGTCTGCAAGGAGGCAGGGGAGGAGGACGAGGAGAGAGGGATGGAGGAGCAGTAGAAGAACGATACTGGGGAGCAGGGGCAGGAGCAGGAGGAGGAGAGGAGGTGGAAGAGGCCGAACAAAATGAGGGTTACCAAACATTAAACAGATCACAGCAAAAGACGGCCGCCATGCCCGCACCGCTTCGGGCGCCGGGTGTGGGTAACAGGGGGCCGGGCGACGTTGCACTAGAGGCGCAACGGTGGGCGATGAGGGTGCCGATGGGGCAGGAGGGGTGGGGCAGGGAGGGAGGGAGGGAGGGGTACGGGCGACCACAAGCACATACCAGACATAGGGGGGAGCACGGTCGATCCCGCCCCCTCGTCCTCCTCCTTCTCCGTCTCCCCTCCTCCTCCTCCTCCTCCTCCTCCTCCTCCTCCTCCTCCTCCTCCTCAACCCTCGCTTTCCTCCCCCTTCCATCACCTTCCTCCCCTTCGGCCCTCCCTTCTCCTCCACCTCCTTGTTTTCCTCCCTTGGCGTTTCTGGATTCCTGGCCGCCTGTGCAGCGGATCCTCTGGCCTCTGGGAGTTTCGCTTTGTTTTGACCTTTTTGACATTACAGAACTTTCCAATATTTGTTGTTGTTGTTGTTGTTGTTGTTGTTGTTGTTGTTGATCGGGGGAGAGGTGTGAGTGGGCGGGGGTCGGAGGTGGATGGGCAGGCCTTCGGGCAGCTCCTCCGGTGAAGCGTAGAATCTTTGTGTTAGGTCGGGCATGTCCTCCCACAGTCGGCTTTCGACGAAAACTCGAAAATACTCAAAACGTACTCCGCCGTATTCAAACATAGCAGAAACATCGTCCCCAGACTTTTTTGGGGACTATTTTGGAAGATTCCCCCTGCAGAGGGACAAGCCCGACTGAATCTCTGTGCCGCGGAGAGGGGCCGCATCTGCGGCCGAGCGGCCGCGGCAAGACACCACACCCCTCCCTGCTGGCTCTCGCCGCATCCCCGCCGCCGCCCCCCCCCGAACCTCCGCCGCCGTCCCGGGGGAGCACCGCGGGTTGGCGCGCTCCTCGCCTTCGCGGCCGGATCCACCGCCCCCCCCCCCCCCCCCGGCGTGGCCTCCCCTGCTGGCGGCGCGCGCCTTCCATCGCTCGGGCGTCCACTCCCCGTGCGTGTTTTGGCTTCGTGCGTGTCTTGTGCTGCTCCAGGATCCAGGAGGCTCCCCGATGGCCCTCGCCGAAAAAACAAAGATGCACACATGCGAGCGATGCCAAGAAGGGGGAAGGGGGGTAAGGGGGGAAACCTTCCGCAGGAGAAGGCTGCGCCTCAGACGGCGCGGGCCCTGCGTCTGCTGATGAGGCCCGCGCGTCCTAGGAAGCAACCTCCCTCCAAGACGCCTTCCCCCCTACCCCCTGCCCCCCCTCTGCGCGTGGCTGACTCTGGGACTCCTCCTCGTCGCCACGGCCGGATCCGCCTGGAAATCCTGCGGCCCGAGACCCGCTCCCCCGGCACCATGGCAATCACCACATCGGATCTTGTGCGAACATCTTCGGCCTTCGGGGGCCGTTCTCGGGGGACCCAGCGGATGAAACGTCGTACCCCCACCACCATCACCGCCATCGACGTCGCGCCAAACCCTCTCTGAACGGATTCTCGTCGGCGAGCGAGGGGGGAAAATGAGAAGGAGAAGGCCTTCTCAGAAGGCGGGGGGACTTCTCAGAAACCCTCGCGCTTTCTGAGAGTTTTCTTGCGTCTTCGGGGAGGACTCAGGGAGCTTCTCCGAAGGCCTGGCAACTTCCGAGCCTTCTGAGAAGGCCCGCCCCTTCTCACTTCCCCCTCGGGCTCGCCGCCGAGAACCAGCCCTACCCCACGCTGGACACAAAGGCCCCATCCGGCAAACGTCGGTGCTGCCATGCTCGGCCGGCATCATGCTGGCGCGGCATCAGTACCGCTCCCCTTCTTCGACGCGCCTACTCCTGCACAACCATGTAGCAGGCTACGGCCAAGAACACGCAGTAGAGCACCAACATGATGAAGCCGAGCGCCTTGTTCAACACCCACCCGTTGCACTTGATGCTCAGTATCACGGCCACCAGCATGCAGACGAGGGAGCCTATCCAGACGGCCATGGTGCCTGGCTCGCTATTGACACTCACGGGCGCGCCGCCGTGGTACCAAGAGTAGAGCAGCCACGGCACGGGTGCCCCCACCGTCACGTCGAAAATGTTGGAGCCGATCGACGACGAGATCGCCATGTCGCCGTGCCCCTGCACCGTCACGATCACGGACGTCAGCAGGTCCGGCACCGAGGTGCCGCCGGCGAGAATGGTGATCGCCAAGACGCGCGGGTCGCCCCCCGTCCAGTCGGCGACGACCTCCGAGCACTCCACCATCAGCCAACTGAACAGGGCGACCGCGCAGATGGAGAGGATGAACGTGATCGGGTACAAGCTCTTCTGGCAGCCGGGCTCGCCTTTCTCGTTCTTCGTGCGGACGTCGGGTATGATCCTTAGGAACAGGTTGATCGGCAAAGCGATGATGGCATACGCCCACTGCCTCCCGCCTGCGCCCGCATCAGGGAAGAGGGGCGTGGGGCCATCGTCGGGCTCGTCCCCCAACGATTGCTGTGCCTGCAACCTCTTCTGCCGCCGGGTGCGGAAGTGTTGCCTTATCTCCTCGATGTTGAGGCGGCCGTCCTTGTCCTTGTCTAGGCTGTCGAACTCTTGCGCGAGCTGTGAGTCCTTCTGGGCCTCCTCCTTAGTGATGAGCCCGTCGCCGTCCGTGTCGAGCTTTGCGAAATCAGTCGAGTCGATCTTTTTTTCTTCTTTTTCCTTGAAGTACGCCTCTACTTTCGAGTTATAAGCCATGAAAACGCAATAACAAATGTAAAATGCGAATTGGATCCCTGCTTCCCAATACTCTATAAATCCGTCGCTGTCCACCGACCCCCGCTTGTCGGAGGCGACAGCGTGTAACATCCGATGTAAGTCGGGGTGGGGGGTGAGGCGACGAGCTCGTCAACGGGCTTCTCGGACTCGGGAGGTACCCAAGATGGCCCGCTGAGCCCTAGAGGCCTCAACATGTCGCAAAATAGCCTCCAAGACCGCCTACGGATGCCCAACACAAAACGAGATTGCCTCCCCACGATGGCCATGGTTAGGCACAGCTGAAGGAGTAAAGAGGGAGTACAGTGGCCCCATGGAGCCGCCCCAAAAGCTGGCACTGGCTCTAAATAGGCACTGAGAGGGCCCCAAGAAGGCTCCGACAAGCCTCAGGGAGCCTTCCGACCAGATCCAAAAAGCCCTCGAGACGGCTCCGAGGGAAGCCCAGAGGAGACCCTGAAGACCCCCAGGACAGGCCCAGGAGGACACTGAATCTCTGGGGACACCCCAGAGGGCCTGAAGAGGACGCCGAGAGCATCCGAGCGGGCCCAGCATGGCCCACGAGCGTGCGGGCACACGTTGGTCGATGACATTGCTGTGACGAAAGGGCAACGGCAATCATGGGATGCAAGCGATGTTTCCTTCATACAAGAGAGCGAGAGAGACCGTACACAGACACACATACATATACATGCACACGCTCATGTGCACACATATGTAGATGTTCATACATACATACAAACATACATACATACTTTCATGCATTCGTACATCCATACAACCATATGTATATGACCACCACCCCAAAGGTCATCCATCTCACTTCTTAGCATAGTATTACTCGTCTGTTGTTTCTCTCTCTCTCTCTCTGGCTCTCTCTCCTCTTTTCTATATCTCTCTCATTCTATCTTCTCTCCTCCTCCTCCTCCTCCTCATCCTCTGCTTGCGGGTTACAAGCCTTGCTGACGTTTCCTCGCATTCCTCTCTCCTTCTCCTCCTGTTCCCCCTCCCTTTCGTTCCCGCGGCCACGCCCCACGCCCAAGGACAGAACTTAGGAAAGCATTGAAAGCTGCAACAATAGGAAACACCGGCCCTGCACAGGACACACAAAAAACTCGCCTCCGAGGGCGGGGAAAAGAAAAATGAGAGATTTGTTCCCTTTCCTCCAGATTACAAATGGCTCCTTGTCGTGGCGTCTCCCCAAATGGTTTCCTTCCGTGGGGGTGTACAAAAGGATCCCCTCCGTGGCGGATTAAAAAGGATTCCTTGCATGGCGGCTTACACAATCATTCTTTCCCTACTGGGCTACAGACATGTTCCTTCAGTGGCATGTTACAAAAGAAGGTTTTTGTTTTCCCGTGCTGGCCTGCACAGTGATTCCTCCTGTGACGGATTACAGAACGATTGTTTGAGGATTAATTCTGTTTGTGGCGGACGGTATCACTCTTTTGGCGGCGAGTTGCCGAATGATTCCTTCAATATCGGACCACGTCCAATGACTGAAGGGTCCGTCCGCCGTCCGCCGTCCGCCGTCCCCTTCGGGTCTCCTACAGAGAACCGCGGACGGCGGACGGACTCGTCAATCTTCCTCCTCCTCCTCCTCTTCCTCCTCCTCCTCCTCCTCCCCCTCCTCCTCCTCCTCCTCCTCCTCCTCTTCCTCCTCTTCTCCATCCTCACTCGTCATTCTTATTCCTCCTCTTCGCCACCACCATCATCATCGTAATCATCATCCCCCCTCATCATCCGCATCATCATCACGAACATCACCGTCAACGTCATAATCATCACCACCACCACCACCACCACCACCACCATCATCATCATCATCATCATCATCATCATCATCATCATCATCATCATCATCATCATCATCATCATCATCATCATCATCATCATCATCATCATCATCATCATCATCATCATCATCATCATCATCATCATCATCATCATCGCCATATTTATCATCATCATTATCACCACCATCATCACCATCCTCATCGTCATCCTTGCCGTCGCCACCGCCATCATCACCATCATCACCAACATCACTGTCATCATGGAGGGTGCGCCGCTGGATCTCCCCAAGGGGGGCTCCCCCCCTTCCCCGATCCGTCGCCGGGGACCCCTCCCCCTCCCCCCCTTTCCCCGACCCGTCGTCAGGACCCCCCCCCCTCCCCCCCTTTCAAAAGGGGGAGGGGGTCCGAACCCCTCCCCCTCCCCCCCTTTCGCCACGCCGCCCCTTGACTCCGGAACCCGACCCCCGCCACCCCTACCCTAGTCCTCACTCTAACCGAAACCCCTAATCCTAACCCCGACCACTAACCCCAGCCCCAAGGAGTACTCACTACTCATTACTCACTACCCACTACTGACTACTCGCTATTCGCTGCTCACTTTTCACTACCCCCTATTCACTACTCACGACTCACTACTCACTATCCACTACTCACTACCCACCGCCCACTACTCGCTACTCACTACTCCCTACTCACTACTCCCTCCTCCCTACTCACTACTCACTACTCACTCCTCACTACCCACTACTCAATACTCACTACTCACTAAGCACTACTCACTACTCACTACTTTCTAATCACTACTTGTTACCCACTACCCACTATCCACTACTCACTACTCACTACTCATTGCCCACAAATCACTACTCACTACCCACTATTCGCTACTCGCTATTCGCTACTCCCTAAACAATACTGACCACACAATACTCAGTACTCACTACTCGCTACTCCCATACTCGCTACTCAATACTCACTACTCACTCCCCGCTACGCACTATTCACTACTCACTACTTACTACTCCCTACTCATTAGTCACTACATAGTCTCTAATCACTTGTCACAACTCACTACTCACTACTCACTAGTCACTAGTCACTAGTCATTACTCACTACCCACTACCCACGACACACCAATCGCTACTCACTACCCACTATTCGCTACCCACTTCTTACTACTCACTGCGCACTACTCCCTATCTCTACTCCCTACTCCCTACGCACTACTCGCTACTCCCTACTCGTTACTCACTAATCACTACCCACTACTCACTACTGACTACTCTCTACTCACTACTCACTACGCCCTACTCGCTCCTCACCACTCACTACTCGCAACTCCCTACTCGCTACTCACTACTTACTGCCCACTGCCACTACCCACTACTGTCTATTCATCACTACTCACTACTCACTACGCACTACGTACAACTCAATACTCACTACTCACTACCCACTACTCACGACTCGCTACTCACTACTTACTACTCACTACTCACTACTCACTATTCACTACTCACTAGTTACTACGCACTACGCACTACCCACTACTCACTACTCACTAATCACTACTCGCCACCCACTACTCACGACCCACTACTCGCTAACCACTACTCATTACTCCCTACTCCCTACTCCCTACTCAGTACTCACTACTCGCTAATCGCTACTCACTACTCACTACTCGCCACTCACTACTCACTTATCAGTACACACCACTCACTATTCACTGCTCACTACTCCCGACTCCCTACTCACTACTCCCTACTCCCTACTCGCTACCCAATACTCACTACTCACTACGCACTAACTCACTACTCACTACTCACCACTCCCTACTCCCAACTCCGTACTCCCTACTCGGGGGGGGGTGTCCGAACCCCCCGCCCCCCTTTCCAACGCCAAGGGGGGGAGGGGAGGGAGGGGGAAGTTCGGGACACCCCCCCCCCCTTTAAGGGGGGGGGGGGGGGGGGGAGTTCCGGACCCCCCCCCTTTTAAAGGAGGGGGGGGGTTCTGGACCCCCCCCCCTTTAGTGTATTCAGGGAGATCCACTGGCGCACTTTCGTCATCATGCGCATTACCATCATCACCATCATCCCCATCACCATCGTCCCCATCATAACCGATGCATCTGCTTTCGCGTATGGCTCAGCCGAGCCAGCAGCCAGAAAGGGGTACATATGAGTTGTATTCCTCCCCAGGTTCACGGAGAGTGAAATCGAAATTGCTTGAACTACATGGGCGAGAGCTCCTCCTCGTCTTTCTCCTCGGCGACCAGTTGATTCGCCAAGCAAGTCGGCCGCTGCCACACTCTCTTTTTGTGCTGGCTCCCAGCGAGACGGAGCCCCCGCGGAAGTGGCACCTCCTCGACCAAAGGGTGGGAAAATGCCCCAATCAGGCTTTCAAATCTGACCGTTCCATTCGCGTCTTCACGTGAGGGCATACAATCGGACCTAGGCCACAAGGGCATCATCCCTCAAGACCATGAGACCCTCCGTCGGCCAAAGCGCATCGAACATCCGAGGGTACCCTCCCCAGGATGCACAAGAACATCCAACACACACGAAGAACATTAAGGCACCCTCCCCGAACCGACCTCGACCTTGTGCCCTGGTCCGACTGTAAGAATTCAAATGACGTCGTAGTAATCGGCCCCGTATGGCATCAGCCCCTGACCGGCTCTGCATGCATGTTGCGCTCTTTCTCCTCCTCGGCACGGTGCCGCCTGCCGCTCATCCTCAATACTCGCCCTCCCCAGCCCAAGAAGTCTTCCTGGATCCCCTCTCCCCTGGTGGTCGGCAAAGCGGCGCAGGCCTCCTGGATAGATGTAATAAAAGAAAATGAGGTGCACTGTGTAGAACATTGAGTCGCGAGCGAGTGGGAACGCGGTGAGCTGCAGAGTACTCTTCGCGGCGATGCCGCACGCGCCGATGACAAACAGGACGTTGAACACGGCGGAGCCAACAATCGTGGCAACCCCGACGTCGCTCGCCTTTCGGGGGTTGCTCAAGGTGCTCCTGGCCAGAGGTGCTCCCCGCTGCTCGCTCCATTTTGGAGCCCCTGGGGCCCCCCTTGGGCCTCGTGAGGGATGCTCTGGAGGCCGTGGAGGCCTCTTTGGAAATCCTAGGGGCACCTCGGGCCAGTTGCACTTCTTGCCATCGCTCGGACGTTAACCCCCCTTTCACTTTTCGGTTTCTTTTCTTTGTGCTTGTTCTGCTCTTCCCCGCAGGACGACCCACGATGCTTCTCGATGGTCCTCGCCCAGGAAAGATGCACACGTCCGAGCGATGCCAAGGCTTCTAGCAACAACCGATCCTTGAAGCACGTCACCAGGGCCGTGAAGAACTCCGGGGCCGATCCGCCCGCGGCCATGAAGGTGGCCCCGGCGACGTCTGGCGAGAGGCTGAGCTTCTCGGTGATGACGTCGAGCGAGGGCACGAAGCCCGCCACCGTGCCTGCTGCACGTTGAGGCGTGCAATAATGCCAGTCGGCGGCAAGCCTGGGGGGGGAAAGTGAGAAGGAGCGGGCCTTCTCAGAAGGCTCGGAAGTCCTCCCCAGCTCTCTGAAACATTTTCTAAGCCTTCCCCGAAGACACAGAAAACTTCTCAGAAGGCTGGGGGGCTTCTGAAAGTCCCGCCGCCTTCTGAGAAGGCCTTCTCCTTATCACTTCCCCCCCTCGCTCGCCGCCGAGATGAGGCGCGCTTCGCGCGCTAGGCCCAGGGAAGGGAATACGGCGCAGATCCAAGAAGTCCGCGCGGAGCTCCCGAAGCTTATGCCTATTCGGTCTTCTAGTCGACAGAGGGCTCCAAGACGGCCCAAGAGGCGCCCACGACTGCCCAAGAGGGCCCCAAGACGGCCCCTGGAAGGGCCCGAGGCACAGAAACACGACCGCAGACCTCGAGCCGATCTCGGGACACCCCCAGCAAGCTCCGTGACCTTGTGGATCAGCTGCCGCCCAGAATGCTGCGCTGGCACGGCGGCGGAATTGCCGGAGGCAGCTGGATACTCGTCGCAGACGATGGCCAGCGCGAGGAACATGTACAGCAACCCCGCCGTGTTGAGCGCCAGCATCAGCAGAGTGGGCTTGACCTCGGGGGGCCCGGGGCGCCGTGTCTAAGGCCGCGGCCCCCCCCTCCCTTGCTAAAAGCGCGAAGCGGGGTTTGGGAGAAACAATTTCCCGGAGGTGGACACCGTCCACCTCCGGAGAACGGCCCCGGAGGTGGATTTGGCCACCTCCGGGGAACGGCCCCGGAGGTGGATTTGGCCACCTCCGGCGGGTGGGCGCTTTTTTTCTGGTGCGTGTTTTTGAATTTCGATGTTCAGATTTCCTTGGATTGCGAATTTTTAGGATGTCAATTTAAATTGTTATGATGTCAATTTTGAAAAATCCTTGAACAAATTTGTTCCGAAAAATTGTTTTTCGGTTTTTCAATTTTTATTTTGCTGGTGCGGTTCTTTGAATTTACCAGCATTTTAGAGCGTCGTTTTTTTGGGGGGGTGCTTCGAAATGTAAACAACATCAGGTCGTTTTGCGAATGCGTTTCTGTTTTTGGACAGGCTGAGAAGGGAAAGCAGCAGTAGCAAGGTGATATTCTAGGCGCCCAGACGCGAAATGTCGGGACACTTGGGAACGAGGCGGCGAGCAACGGGAGGAGATATGCGGAGGAGGAAGAGGAGGAAGGAGGAGGGGAGGAGGAGCACGGACATCTTGCACCCGACAAAATCTTGGTCGTGAGAACGCCGGCTGTGTTCAGGGGCCTCTTTGGACATGGCGTCTCAGAGTAAATTGTGAGGAGGTGTATCGAGCGAGAGCGAAGACGGCGACGAAGGCGGCGACGACGACGTTTGTTGTCGTCGCCGCAGTTGCTCGAGCGACCACTGTTATGGACCCCATTGCTCTGCGATCGTACACTCTACGGCTAGCTCAAGCATGTCGCCTGGTGGACGGCGACGTCGTCTTTGACCGAAAGGAGCGGGCCCCGGGACAACCCCTGCACACAATGGATAGGTTCCCAGGTTCCCAGGCTCCCCCAGTGTCACGGCCCAGTGCCCTGGGGCCGACGGGGGGGAGGGGGGCAGGAGATGCTGGGTCGCGATCCCGACCCCGAGGAGTTGGTCGGCATTATCGGCGGCAAGCGCTCGCAGAGGGCGGAGGTGGATGCATGGTGCAGGCATCTTGCGTCGTCGTCGCGCCTCCCGCCTCCTCCTTCTCCTCTGCCACCGCCTCCTCCTCCTCCTTCTCCTCTTCCTTCTCCTACCTCCCTCTTTTCTCTCTCTTCTTCCTCTCCTGGTCCTTTCCCTTCTCCTCCTCCTGCCCCTCTTCCTCGCACCCCCCGCCCTGCCCCCTCGCGAAGGCAATGCGGCGTCGACGGCCTCGTCCCCGTCCGGATGGTCCCCGAGTTCTTCGAGGCCCGGCGAGCCCCGGGCTTCAGGGCTTGGAGGGCCGTGGCCGCGGCAGTCGAGGCGCAGACGAGGAGCAGCGCAGACGAGGGCCGACGACGATTCAGACGTTGGGCCCGCGGCGGGGCCGTCGTCGCCTCGGCTGGACGCAGCGCGGAAAACTGGAGTTCCTCAAGAAGACTTTCCAGGATGAAACTGAATTGGGGGGGGAGTCGAGGAAGAGAAGGAGACGGGGTGCAGCAACGACGGGAACGAGAAGTGGGAGAAGGAGGAAGAAGACTGAGAAGGAGAAGGAGGAAGAGGAGGAAGTTAGATAAGGAGGAGAAGGAGGAGGAGGAGGAAGAGGAGGAGGACGAGGAGGAGAAGGAGGAGGAGGGGGCGGAGGAGGATGATGAGGAGGAGGGGGAGGAGGAGGAGGAGGAGGAGGAGGAGGAGGAGGGAGGAGGAGGAGGAGGAGGAGGAGGAGAGGAGGGGGGGGGGAGGAGGAGGAGATGAGGAGGAGGAGGAGGAGGAAGGAAGGAAGGAAGAAGGAAGGAAGGCCCATCGTTTCCAGCGCAGCGGGGCGTTTCCGACTGCTCCGCGCCGCGCGGCGGGGGACGCGGGGGGGGGGCGGTGGGTGGGGCGCGAAGGGGGAGGGGGAGGGCCTTACCTTGGGAGGGTAGAGGAGGAGGAGGATAAGGAGGAAAAGGGAGGAGGAGGAGGAGAGGGGGGGGGGAGGAGGAAGGAGGGGGAGGAGGGGCTGAGGAGGGAAGAGGAGGAGGGGAGGAGGAGGAGGAGGAGGAGGAGGAGGAGGAGGAGGAGGCGGAAAGGGAGGAGGAGGATGAGGAGGAGGAGGAGGAGGATGAGGAGGAGGAGGAGAGGAGGCGGGCCCATCCCCTGCTCTCAGGAGCGCAGCGGCGGCTGCTTCGTCGCGCTGGGCTCCTGCCGGGCCGCCGGCCGACGCTTTGGCGCTCGCGGGCGACTCGGGCGACGACGCGGCGCCCGCGGCGGCGGCCGCGGCGCCGCTGGCGCTCCGGCTGGCGGCGCCCGCGGCGGCGTGCGCAGTGGGCCGGCCGCCGACGCGTTGGGGGTCGATTCTTCGAGAGGCGGGGCTGGGCGTGCTGGGCTCTTCCTTCCTCGTCCTCCTCCTCCTCCTTCACCTCCTCACCTCCTCCACTCCTCCACCCGCCCTTCACCGCCTCTTCCTCCTCCTTCTCCTCGTCCTCTCCTTCTCCTCTTCTCCTCTCCTTTTCCCTTGTCCCACTTGTCCTAGTCAGCCTTGCGCAACTCCTATCCTTTCTGTTCCCCTCGCTTCTCTCCCTTTCTCTGACTCTCCCCCGCCCCTCCCCCTTCCCCTCCCCCTTCTCTTGCTCCTGCTCCCCCGCCTTCTCTCGCTCCATCTTCTTCTTTTTCGTTTCCTGATTATTTTTCATTCCACCTCCACATCACATCAACCAACCTCCTCCTTCCCCTCCCCCCCCTCCTCCTCGCCCTCGTCCCGCTTGCCCCCCGGCCCCTTCTTCCCCTCCCGTCGCTGGCCCCGCCCCGTCCGCCCCTCCCCCATCCCCCCTCGTCCATCCTCCCGAAGGCGGACTACGGCGAGCTGGGCCCGGAGGTGCTGGCGCAGATGCGCGCGCGCAAAGACGAGGAGCGGCCTCCTTCTCCTCCCCCCATCCACCCCCGCGCTGCCGCTGCCGCGCCCGATCGCAGGAGCTTCGTGCGGGGGCAGATCAACGGCGCGCCATGGAAGAGAAGATCCGGCAGCTCGAAAGGACATGCCGCTGCGGCCAGGAGGAGGATAGGGGAGAAGGAGACGGGGGGAGAGGAGGGGGGAGGAAAGGAGGATCGGATAAGGGGGAGGAGGTGGAGGAGGAGGGGAAGGACGAAGGACGAGGACGAGGATGAGGAGGAGGAGGAGAGGAGAAGGAGGAAAAGGAGGAGGAGGAAAAGGAGGGACGGACGGAGAGTTGGGTCTCTGGCATCTGGTCTCTGGCAGTCTCTGGCTTGAATCCCAGGGGGTCCAGGAATCCCGGGGGGCCCAGGAGTCCCGGAGCGCCAGAGAGCCCAGGGATCAGGGCGTTCGGGAATCCAGGTAGAGAACGAGGAGGAGAAGGAGAGCAGGAGAAGGAGGGGGGCTCCCCCTCCTTCTCCTCCTCCTCATCCTCCTCCTCTTCTTCCTCTTCCCCCTCCTCCTCGTCCTCCTCCTCCTCGTCCTCCTCCTCCTCCTCATCCTCCTCCCCTTTCCTCCTCATCCCCTCCGCCTCCTCCACCTCCTCCTCTCCCCCTCTCCCCCCTTTTTCCCTCGCGCCCCAACCCGGCCCCCGCGCGTTGGTGTTGTTGTCCAGGAGTCTTGGCGCGCTCGCGATCCGGCAGGCCCCCGACGAGGAGGAGGGGGGCCCAAATCAGCAGTGGCTGATCCAGAGGGAGAAGGTCCAAGGGGAATTCAATCATCCCATCTCATGGGAGGGGGCTGGCCGTGAGTCCCCGCGGGCCCCTGGGCCCATGGATTCCAGGCCCCGGCGGGCGTCGACCCGACGGGATATTCAGCGCCCCTCTTCGGGCCTCTCCTCAGAGGTGAGGATTCTCACCCGCCCGAGCGCTCTGGCCATCGGCATCCGGAAAAGTTGCGGGAACATGTCAGCAGCTGACTTCGGGATAGCAGCAATGGAGGACCGCTCGCTCATTCAACTCACTCACTCACTCTGTCACTCACTCCCTCACTCACTCGCGCACGCTTTCTCTCTCTCTCTCTCTCCCTCTCTCTCTCTCTCCCTCTCTATCTCTGTTTTTTTTGTTTTCTCTCTCTCTCTCTCTCTCTCTCTCGCTCTCGCTCTCGCTCCCTCTCTCCCTCTCGCTCTCTCTCTCTCTCTCTCTCTCTCTTTTCTCTTTCTTTTTTGTTTTCCTTCTTTCTTTCTTTATCTCTCTCTCTCTCTCTCTCTCTTTCCCTCTCCCAGATCCGGACTGGCCCCCCGCTTCAAAGGGGGGCCCCGGCCCCGGGGGCCGCCGAGGACATCTGCTCGCACACTGTCACCAAGTGCGAGGTGGAGGCCGCGGCTGCTCTGGTGTCGTGCTTCCGAGAGTTTCACGCCGAATGAGACCTGGGGGATGCAACGTGTTCTTGTTTCCGGACATGTGGCCCTGTTGGGCTTGTTGGGCCTGCTGCCGAACTTCGCGCCCTGGGGCCCTGGGGCCGCGGGTGCCCCGTCCGTTCGGAGCTGGCCGCGCGTCTTTTTTTTAATGTTATGACTGACGGGGGCAGGGTCCGGTCAGGGGTTTATCCATCGTCGCCGCGGCTGGAACCGCTTCGAAATGATGCCGAGAGCAGCGTCCGTCCGAGGGCCGATGTGTCCGAGCCCAGCCCAGGCGAGCAAAGTGCGGTCGAGGCCAAGGCCCGAGGGTCGCACGCGGTCATATCGCACGCCTTCCGCTCCGACGCGACCAGCTCGAACGTCCACCGCAATTCTAAATTGTTCGGTGGCGAGCTCGAGTCCTGCTACACGCTGGAGGCCGAGCGCGTGCGTGACCCCGCCAGTTTCGTCGCCCTCACGGCGTCGCGGCAGGAGTTCGCGGACGCGCTTCGGGTCTTGGGTTCGTCGACTGCCCTCAGCTCAGTGGCCGTGGTCTGGACGGTCTGGCCCACTGATCTTGGCCCCACCCCCCAGATCGGCCATCGGCCCATCGGCCGCCACCCCAGCTGGGGGGCGCGCTAA